TCATTTTTCTTTCTATTGGCAGATAGCACTTTGGGCTCTCCGATGTTATATGTGTTGCCCCATCACACCCATTATGGACTGATATGGAAATCAGAAGGTATTGCTGAGCAGTGTACCAGCCAGGTCATCCATCAAAGGAGAAAGATCCACACCGTTGGGGCTGTAATCCCAGCCAGCATGGAATGATGTGTATGTGAACCCATTATCTGTAGCCAGCTCCTGCACAGGATCCATATTCAGCCTTGCACTCACAACCACATGTGTGCCCCCTCTGCGTGACCTAGCATTGCTAGGCAGGGCCTTGTAGAGGCTTTTTCCTTAACTTCGTAAGTCCCCCAGTGGTAAGAAGTTATCTCATGGGAGATAAGCTGCTAACCAGACACCTACTGTAGCACATATGAAGGCCAGGTGGGAAGGATTCCACTGGGACTTGAAACACCAGACATAAAAAAACCGCACTGATATTTATTACTCTTGATAGTATACCTAGAGATGAGTCCCAGTGACCCAATCAGCAACATTTGGTTTTATATCCTTTTTCCTTAAGGAGGTAATAATTAGGCCCCAAAACTTTGAAAGCAAAAGAAAGAAAGAAATACCACTTATTAATGAGCTCCTGGTTGTATGTGGATTGTCAGTACCTTGAAGGTGCAGAAATGAGCAGGTTCATGGTAGTGAATATCTTTCAAGTCAAGAGATAGGAAACAGTCCTCACACGGAAGCAAAAGGATTCTAAGTGCCCACAGACCAAACCTCAATATCTAAACAAGTTTGTTTTCATTCTGAACACATCTGCTTTACTTTCTCATACATTTCTTCCCAAGCACAGCTGGGATCATATCCATCTGCCAAGTCTGATGAACTGCTCCCTGAGCAGATGCTTTGGAAGGGATTCCTTCAGAAGAATACAAATGGGGAATTCTTTTGTATCAGAGAGTTAGTGGTCATGGCATGTGCTGGTAAAAACTCACTTGTCTGTGAGGCTGACTGCCATACAGGTAGGAATCATGAGAGCAAGTTTCCAAAGAATTATGAAGGTCATGTAGAGCAACAAGGCTGTCTCTGCCATGCTTTCAAGACCTCTTCCAAGGTGCTAGAGTATGAGGTGTCACTTCTACAATAGGTATTTGCAAGATGCTCTGGGCATCCAAAGTAAGTAGGAACAAACAATACTGTTGAGGTAAATTCAGATATTAAAGCAGAAGGTTTGACTAGAATAAAGGCTTGTTGCAAACCTGCTTGGAGTCGCATTAGTGTGCAGCAGTGCTCACAACTTGACTGATTAAAGGTGCAGGCTCAGGCACTGTGTTGTGCTCATCTGAAGGCTGTACCTGGTTTGCTTTAACCCATCACTCCCTGAACAATGCCCCCGAGTGAGCTTGGGGTGGGATGGGTTAAGGGCTGGTCTCAGGGCTTCTGGCAGCATGACTAAGGCCTATGTCATGCCACTTCCCTTTTAGTAAGAGAAGGGCACTGACACGTGTTATTTAGGAGAATGGTACTCCCACATGAGCTCTGGTTCTGCTCTAATAGGCAGCTGAAAGATAGGAACTGTAGCAATTCACTTTTCATTTCAGGTTTTACTACCTGTAAGTCACCCTGGGACAGCAAGGAACTTGGAAAATAGATTTGTATGAGCTTTCTGGAGCGTGGTGTGTGTGCTTTATGCCAAGTCTGTTTTAGTGCTCCCTGGTAGTGAGGGGGAGTGAGGGGATGTGGTATCAGGAGAGAAAATCCCAGCCTACAGACTGCTCATCATGGCAAGTTAAAACAAGAGGGGAAGGAGGGTTAGTGGAAGAGAAGGGAAGGGATGTGTCAAGAGGGGATGTGGGACAATCTGTTTGGGAATCGTAGAATCACGAAGATTGGAAAAGACATTCAAAATCATCTAGTCCAACTGTCCTCCTACCACCAATATTTCCCCATTAAACCATATCCCTTAGTGCAACATAGAAGAAATGGCCCAAACATTTTGTGGCTGAAGAGGAAAGCTGTACCTCCCTCTGAGACTCCTCCAGCCCTGTGGTCCTTGCCTAGAGTCCTGCTGCCCTCTTACCAAAGCGGCCTTTTTTTTTTTGCCATTATTCTTTATTGAAAAGATGTGCATGCAGGAACACTGGCTTCTGGGAACATTTTATTTACTATTTGATAGCTCTGTGCAAAGTAATGTATCTGAACAGCCATGGGCTCTGGATTTATATGTATAGCTGTACTGCCAGACTGAAAGACCACTTGCAATTGTTCTGCTGCCTTTTCTAGCAATCTGCTATGCAGTGAAGGACTCTGTGTGCATCATTCTTAACAGCTTAAATTTGCACAGATGTGACACTGGGATTAGCTTTGCCACAGGGCTTGGTCATTGCAGCATCCTGCCAAATCGGAATCTCTTCAAAGCATAAACAGACAGGAAACTTTAAAGTCAAATCCACGAGTGCTGCCAGCTTTTAGCTGTTTGTAGTCTTCTGGTACCAGAGAAGATTTTCTTTCCTGGCTATCTAGTTTTGTATGTAAGAGCCTATTCTCTGCCCCACATTAGGAACCTGAGGCTGACAGTAGCTTGGTACTGTGGCATCCTGAGGCACTTATGCCAGGCGCTTAGTGAATTAATAGAACTCCAAACTCTGAATTTTACCCACAGGTACCTGTGTTGGTTATCCACAACTTTATTCATGCAAGTGGGGTGGAACAGAGTGAGGATATATGTCTGCTCATGATGCAGAGCCATTGTGCTGGTCAGGCATGATCACTGCTGAGAGATCCATAAACTGAGACAGCTGCTTGGCAGGTTTTCATCCAAGTAAAACCCTCTGTAAACTAATTATATGGCCATAGCTTATAAAGTTTACAAGAAAGCAATCTCCAGACTTGTTCTCTTGTCAGTTGCATATCTTGAACTTATCTGTAGATGTTGCAAAACTAATCACTGTGGTTAGAAAACCTATAAACTGTTCTGTACTGAACAGATGTAATAATTTTCCAATCCTTCTTTCCTTTCTTAAATACAACCTTCTATTTTAATGTGTTCATTTTTAGTGTTTGTAAATAATGGTAAAAAATAAAGAACTTTAAGGAAACCAGTCCACAATTAAACCACTTCAAATTGTAAGCACAAACGCCAGCCAGACACCTCCAAATAAAATATTTATAGGAACTAGATGTCTTGTATCAGGAGATGCTTCTCCTGCTGTTATCAGAAGTCAGCCCTTCGCTCCCTGTATCTGCTTTTATCCCCGGTAGCATGAAGTGTGCATCAAGCATCCTGCCTGCTTGTCAGTGGGGCTCATACACTGTATTATAACAGGCAATCATCACAACAGTTGTTCACAGGCAGTGTTTTTAGCTCTACCAGTACAACCCACGAGATTCTCTATCAGCATCATCATTATTTATCTGAAGCTCTTCCAGTAAATTGAGCCTAACTAGTTTTCCTTGAGGTAAAAAGATGCAGTCTGTCTTTTATCATTGCTCATGCAGAGAAAGCAGTTCCCTCCTAAGCAATGTAGAATCTGGAAAAGGGAAAAGCTTCACGGCAGCTGTATTATGCTCCTGGCCAGCATTAGCTTATAGTCCTTTTCTTAGGCTAGGACAGACTGGCAGGAAAACAGCCAGAAATTGCACATTCTTTTCCTTGTTGTCATATTGCACAGTTGTATGCTTAATGCTGCATATCCCTTAGCTGAGAGATTGGCCCCATTTAGCTGTTCTGGTCAAAGCTGTTTCATCAGGCAGCTCTCAGAGACTCCATGGAATCAGTTTCTATACAGAAAAATGGTGAGTCAGTCTAGCTTTACTCTCTGAAAGAGATGGATGGGGCAGATGAAGCTTTGGAGAAGTCTTATTGCATAAACTGGAGATCTGCACATACTGCTTTTCTACATTATGTGATCCTGCTACAAGCAGCACTAATACGATTAACACAGATATTAACATACTAATATAATTAACATAAATTGATTCTAACAGAATCACATTTTTTTTCTCAATTTTTATTATTTTTATTATCTTGCTAGAAATCAAATAAGGATTAATAAGCAAAAGCAGTATTTCAACACAAAAGTTGGTACATGTGAGTATTCCAGCCTGTTAATACATTCTCCATGTTCTATGCCTTTGTGGAAACTCCATTTTTATGACTTCAACCATAGTGGAGATGAAAATTTATTATTTTGTTATTATTGAATGGAACTTGTATTTTTTATTTTTTAATCCCTCAGTTTAGTTTACGAAGTGTGACAAAGGTCAGGTAACTATATTGATGGACTGCAGGTTGGGATATAAAGCTGTTTCAAATAACACTCTTAACATAGTAATCTACTCTCTTGTCTCTATTTCAGCCCCAAAACAACCAACATAAGTCATCTGCTTCAAAAACTGGTTGATAGAAATAGGAATCTACTACATTGCATACTGAACTCTGATAAGGTTATAAAACAGTGCTTTTGGTTTGTTTTGATAATTGTTTACACTGTTTACAAATGAAAGGACAATCAGTAGGTTGGCAAATTGAAGTGTTGGCTGTTATTCTGCTTTGTTGTCAATCAAGAATTTTCTAATTTTAAGGAAAGTATTTTGCCTACTTTTGCTACCTTAAATCAGATGTCTGACATTTAGATAGCTACCTATCTACAATGACTTGCTGAACCTTTGTAGGAACCTCAGCATTTCCAAAATGTGATTTAACCCACCTGTTTTGTTCTGCTGTGCATGGACTGTAGATAACTAACTTTTGAAGTCTAATCTAAGCTGAAATTAATTCAATTTTATCAGATAGTCAGAGATACTCAAAATGGCTCTCATCAGATCTTTGCTTTCTGTGAGGTCTACTATACAAGGTTATTGCCTGTTCACAATGATCCTTCTGCTGACCAAAGCATTTTTTGTAGTTTCTTTTCATGTATTTGCAATCAAAAGAGTTGAAAAAACACACCATAACCTCTTTTTCATTTCCTGATGCCCCAGGAAATACAATCCAGCCATGCATGATTTTTGGCATTTAATCTGTATGTAAGGAATGATTTCTTAAAATAATTGTTCCTAATGATAATGCGAAACTTCATTGAAATGAAAAGCTATCACTGAATTCTTTGCATATTTTATTTTTCTTTTTGATTTCCAACTCACACACATCTGGCATATTTTACATCTTTGCAATAAAACATGGTTACAATAGCTTAAGGAATTTATATATCCAAAATATTTCACCATGATCTCAAGATGAAATGAACTTGTCTTCCAGATGTTCAATATTCTCCCAATTCTAAGCTACAAACTCAAGATATTGCTTACAGACTGGTGATGAATAACTTAATCATTAGGATGATCCCCATGATTGCCGAACCTTATAAATACAAACAACAATGAAGAAGGAAATTCAGTGCTAAACTTACTAATACAAGGTGGAGAACAAATAAGTAATCACATCAATAAATAATGATATGTTTCTGGTGCAAAGTGCCAATACAAAGAATCCATTATCTTTTTAAATAAATGACTGCAAATGAGTGTAAATTCTGAGAAAATTACATTCCTGTTACATGCCTCATAGCCCTACCGACACAATATGTACATCTATGACAATACAGTCACCAAATATACAAAGAAGAAACATGAATTAAAGTGTATATACCCCTGGGTGTGTAATTTGATCAGTACAATGTGCAGAAAATTATTCTGATAGTTATCATTACAGTATTGTAAAACATGAAGTGCCTTAGTCTGAGTGGCTTCAGGTGAGATTTTTAGAAGAACCAAAAAGAATAACCTCAGTCACCTCCACAATGAAGCTAAGGCTGTTGAAGAAACCAAGCTGCTCAGAGGAAAATAAGGGAAAAACATCATTTGAGGCTCTCTCGCCCAATGGTTTCCTTGCCAAATGCTAGCAATCCAGAAGTATAGCACTTTGTACTGGGAATCATTAAGCATTGCAAATGATGAAACTGAACTTCCCCTCTTTGCTCTCCTTCTATCTAGTCTTTAATTTCAAAAGGAGGAATTTAATTTCTACTAAAGTATAAATATGGCAAATGATGGCTTTTTATCCGAATGCTTCATGAGCAGAACTCCACTTAAAAGGGGTAAAGTTTAGATTCAAAAAGTGAAAAACAATGTGTTGGTGAAAATGTTGAAATTACTGTTTGCGCCCAAATTCAACCCTTTAACACAAGCCATACCCTCAGGCAGATCTCCAGTTTGATTTGTGAGAATGCACCTGCTCCTTCAAGACATCAGGTTTAAAGTACATGCAAGTTGTAACTCCACAATAAAATTAAGAAACGGTTTTGTTCTTTATACAAGGTTTTACTTTTACAAAAGTATCCCTTTAAAGTTAAGATGTGCATCTGATGTACAAAGTATCAAACGTATTTTTTTTTTTTTTTTAATCTCAGCTTGAAAAGAGGCTGGAGATGGGATGCATGTTAGGTTCATAGCCTAAACATTGAAACAACTGGACACGAGGTTCCTCAGAATTTGCAAAAGTCTCTTGTGGCGCATCCTACTACCTTTTCTCAATAAACAAAGATATATGAAATAATTACCAAAACATCTCCTAATTCATATAATTTACATGATACAAGCTTGCTTTTCAGCAGCTGGTGTTCAGTTGTGAAAAAACACACAAAGTAAAATGGTTGCTGACTACAATGTACAGCTATTGCTGGGTGTAATGGAATGTACAACGGAGGTCAATGCAGACGTGGTTTTCCACCAGAGACTACACTTTTCTTTGCAGCACTTGTGCTCTCAGCTTTACCTGGGCTTTCAGTTCTTCATTCCGCTTCAGTATCTGTTCTGATGCTCATAATGCCACCGGTTAAAATCTATATTGAAAGCTACGATGCTGCCAGAAGCCATGCCAGTAATTAGAGTTCTGAAAGAGACAGGTGTTCGTGTTAGTTCTCGTTTACTTTCTCAAATTATAGCTTGAAATAAACACTTAAAAAACAAAAAGAACGAGGCTCTTCAGCAATGTTGTATGGAAGTAAACTTCATAGATGCACTCAGTTTGCTACAGAGACACTAAATTTAGGTATCTACACACATAAGCCCAATTCCCACACTCTCATTATGGCCAAAGAGGGTCCAGAACTCCATTTATTTACTTCCATGTAGATAAAAGCTCAGTATAATTTGAGATGGTCTTCTTTATCTTGCCTTGCTTCTAGGTGCCCCTCTGGAAGTGCGTGAGCCTTTACTAGTTCATGTGCCACCCCTCATATGTAGCACAGACCTCCAAAGCATCTCAAACAGTACTAACTGGCTATGGGGTGGAAACCAAACTAGGGACCTAATCAGTACCCAGTGCAACTTAACATGAACTCTCTACAGGTTGCTGGACATGTACATGGGTGAGCTAAATTGTCCACTGGACTCCACAGAATGTACTGAGTAAATCTCCACTAGTTATTATGGAAGCTTATTATCATAGCTTCATGTAAGCTGATCACACTCTGGTTCTCCTAAAAAGCTTTATATTGAAATTTACACCTATACTTATGTAGTTCTGGTGGCAATGGTTGAGATGATTTTCCAGTTATCATATACCCTCTAATTCTGGTAGCTGAATTCTAAAATTGGATTAGATATCTATCACCACTTCTATCAAACCGTACAAAATCCATTCTCTGCTTAATTATGCGACCAGAGCTAAGCAGATACTTAAAGCACTTTGCACAGCTGGAGCTTCCCAACTTAATATTACCATCAGGGGTAGAGAAAATAGGCTAGAAGAAATTTTTCACAGTATAAATAAATCTCTTAGAACACAGCACAGTACTGCATACATAAACTGGCAAAGCTCCAGCAGCAAATAGGCCTCTTCCAGTAAGTTAGGTTTTGATTAGATTGTTTGAGACAAAAATCTTGTTTCTCGTCATCTACTCATATATGAATAAATTAGGTGAGTACTTGGTTTGTAGGTTTTTATTGCTTTACAAAATGGGTACCATAGCATAGGAATGCTGGAAAGCGTAAGAAAAATAAATAGATATGACTGCTGTATGATTTTTTCTCATGTCTTAGTAATTTTTTTTATGAGTCTGTATATTAATAAATGTCAACTCACACATGATGTAAACAGCAAATCCATTCATAACCCTGCATAAATGCAACATACAGGTTTATACCATTAGCATATTACAGTAGTAGAGTAATAAACCAGGTTCATATATATTTATACTTGCACTGTGCATTCCATTGCCACAGCACTCACTGCAAATATCTTGTACACTTGTACACTGCCCCTCCACTGTTTAGAGAATTTCAAAAACAAAGGTCCATATCCATTCCTAGCAGATAAATCCCTGGCAATACTGCACATTAGAGTCCACCCACAACCCCAATAAGTTCTCAAGCTCTTAATGCTGAACTTTTGAACTTTTTTTCAACGCATTTGTTAATTGGTACTGCAGTCTGACCCAGTCTGGTTGTTTGTATGTTCTGAAGTTAATGCAATTTTACTAATATTCTGCTGGCTGAAGCTCTGGCTTACTGATTTCAGTGAAATAAGATCTTGCCTTGAAGTTAACTGCTGGTAGTATGAGACTCAAGGATCAGACAACACGTTGATTAGAACAAGTCAACCAGATAATAACTGGTGTTATGTTATTATGTTAAGTGTAATGCTTTCATATCGTATCTTCTTAATTCATACTTTAACACCATACTTTAACATTAACAGAGATCTATAGTATGTTTTACTTTTTACATACAGATATGAAATTCACCTCTGATCATGAGACAGATCCATAGCTCTAATGCCAGCATCACAGCCAGGGTAGATATAGAGCTGCTTGAAGTCACAGGCCTGCCATACCTCCACCACACCGTTGTCTCCCCCTGTTACCAAGTTCTGCCCATCACTGCTCAGGAGAATGGCCTTCAGATAAATATGACAAAACAGAGGTACACAGTTAGCTTTTATGGAGAATGACCATTACTTAAATTTAGTCAACTTACAAGCACTTCTTGTCCTCTGCCCACTTTACATTTGAAGAAAAAAGATCCCACTTCCCTTTCTTCCAAATAATAATTAAAAAAAAAAAAAAACTAATAAATTCGGGATCTCCAAATTTCAAATAAAACAATTACATGGGTTTTGGTATGATAACCACCACCACCACAAACCCAGCACATTTTTCAGTATTTCTGCCAAGACTTGAGTTAAGCACATAACATTTCCTGTCCCACAATGCTAGATACCATCAATAACACCTGACGCGGGGCAGTGATCTGCATTCCTAATGCTGCTTCAAGTGCTCTTCGCAGAGCAGAGCCCCAAAGGGAAGAATTCACGTCTGGACTAATAAGTGAAGAATGGACTCCTGAGTACTTGTGTTTAAAAAAAAAAAAAAAAAAAAAAAGTTTCCCACTTGAATTTAATTCCAAACAAAAATTCCAGGAATTTTAAGGGATCACACAGAATTTGCTTTGTTTTGTTTTTTTCCACTCTGAAAATGCTCAAGTGCACTTTCACATTTGGAGATGGAGATGAGAGTGTTTGTGTTTGAATATGACTCAGCTGGGAGGTGGAAACTTTACATATGTGATTTCCTTTAAAATACACTGCAAATAAATTCAATTTATTTTAATAAATAAAAGCAAGACACAACAAGTATTTATTTGTATTTAGATTTACCCTGGTTGAATCATTGATCTCCATCTGAGCTAAGAGTTTTCCATTAATGCTGAAATTGCTGAACCGTCCTCGTTCATAGTAGATGATGCAGTGACCTTCACTAGAAACTGAAATTAAGCGAGGATACAAACAGTTTTCTGTTCCTTCCAGGGCTCTCAGCAAATCTCCAGTAATTGTGTGCACCAGACAAGGACCTTCTGTATGTGAAAAGATAATATATCACATTTTTGCTGGTTATACAAACTACATAAACTGTGCACAGAGGCAAAGCATAATACACATTTATATCATTTTAGTCCTGCATAGTTATGAGAAGATGCAATCCTGACTCAAAGAACATAAAATAGAAAACAGAAAAGAAAATGCAAGAATTAAGGAATAAAATTAAGAAAATAAATGTGTCCAAAGATGGTAGTTCTTTATTTCCTTAAACTGGTAGCAGTTGTCATTGATCTGTTTCTGAAATATCAGGATATTTTTCCAAGCATTTAGAGGCCTTGGTCTTTCCTCCAAGAACAGGAACTCTTCTCAGCCTGCCCATTCACATTAAACAGATGGAGCCCTATCAGTGACTAGTAGGAGCAACTCCCAGAGGGCATATAACCATATCACTGCATATTTCTCTTATAGTCAATGGCAGTTTCTGTAGATCCTCTCCCACAGTGAATGCATTATATGCATAGATTTCAGTCATAGATTTCATTGGTTTAACAATAGGCATCATCTGACAGACAGCAATGTAACTACGAGATTGGGACTGTAAGAGTTTTCAGAAGACCACACTGTAACTCTATTACTCCAGAAAGACTTTGATATGAGATTTTCATGTCTTTTTTTTATTGCTAATGAAAGAGAAAGTGAGCTCTGAAATCTACAAGGTACAGTTTAAGAAGCAACACTATGATATCTCCATTTCAAAATCTACGAGAAATGCTCTTTTGAAAGTGAGATGTGTACTCCTTCTAAAAGTCTGAGTCACAGTAAATAATAAATATTTTTTTAATGAATCACCGAGTATCTCTGGACTATCACAGTTACCTCTTCCTTGTACAGCTGGCTCATGACTCTCAAAATAAATTCGTGCTGGCAGACTCAGCCACCTCACATTAAGCCCTTCTAACTTCTCTGAAGTTAACACTATGGCTAGGTTTGCCCAGGTAGAACAAAATACAGCATTGATGCACTTGTCTGCGAGCCCTCCGGTGCATGTCCTTGTCTGTGTTTGCAACAAGCCTTACGCAGAGAGACTGAGTCTGACTCAGTCTACAGAGTGCATCTGCAATGGAATTAATTTATTTTCTCAAATTGTTGAATTCTAGCTTTGGAAATGCTGTAATGCCAGTGATGCTTCCAGTTTCCAAATAAATACCATATTACACTTTCCTTTTGGAAAATCTAACATCTTCTCACTTAAGTACCCTGACAAATAGCTCAGCTGATTGGTCTTGGGCACGAAAAAGGCACACAACAAAATCTTCGGATTTCAGACTCTGGTGCAAAAAAGCACACAAACTGCCCATTCTTTTTCTGTTAATGTTGCACAGGAAAATGCAGACATCAACCTGAGGCACAGGACTTTCTCAGGGGAGTCCTATTCACCTCCTTGCCCTGGCACAGGTTGTCAGGATGTCTATGTGCGTGATGGAGGTGACACAGGGAGGGAAAACTCCCTGTGAGGGAGCACGCACAGTACTGATGTGCCACACAGCACTGTAACAGAATGTTGTAATAGAAACTGGAAAGCAACTGGACAGGAAATAAATAAAAAGACTTTAAACAAGCATCTGCTGGAAAACTGTCATGATTTAAAAAAAAAAAAAAGATTTTCTCTATATAAAGATGTATGGAATAGTCTATAAAGTAATGGGAAACGTGAGAAGAGTAACCCAGAGAACAGGATCTGACAGGATGGGCCTCCAACTCTCCAAATTTACTACAAGTATATTCTGGATTTGACCCTCAGCAGCATTTAGCTCTAAAAATAGATGTTTCTAAAGCATTGCATACTGAAGGAAGCAAAAGGTAACTAAGAACAAACCTCAGCTATCCTAATAAGAGGAAATTTGCAATAAGATAGTTGAAAAGGGTACTTTGACAGCAAGAATGTATGAGGCTGCCTTAAAAGACAAGGAAATAGCAGTATTGCAAGACAAAATTAGGTTCAGAGTCCTCCAGCATATTTTTTTCATAAATGACTTCACTGACTTCACCTACCACAGTTATGTAGTAAGTCATTACTAGAGTTAATGACCCATTAGCAATTCTTGTTAAAAATATCTTTACCCAAAAGTTTCATATTCAACTTCGAAAGTAAATGTCATTCTCCAAGTCTGTATGAAAGATAATAACCCAGCTGAGAGCTAAAGTGGGCAGGAATAGCACTCAAAAAATAGCCTTCAAAAATTACAGAATCTTTAAGGTTGGAAAAGACCCTTAAGATCAACAAGTCCAGCTGTCAGCCCACCAACCACGCCTACTAATCATGTCTGTCAGTGCCACATCCACACAGTACTTGAACATCTCCAGGGATGGTGACTCCACCACCCCTCTGGGCAGCCTGTGCCAATGCAGTGCCCCTCTTCCTAAGAAGAAATTTTTCCTAATCTCCAATCTTCTTCTCAAAAGCATCAAGCTTTAAAAAGGAATACAAGGATATCTGCAGTGAAGAACAAACCACCTCCCCTACGAGAACAGGCTGAGACAACTGGGGCTGCTCAGCCTGGAGAAGTCTCTGGGAAGATCTCACTGCAGCCTTTCAGTACCCAAAGAGAGCCTGCAGGAAATCTGGACAGGGACCTTTTATAAGGGATTGTAGTGATAGGACAAAGGGCAATGGCTTTAAACTAAAAGAGGAAGATTTAGATTAGATATTAGGAAAAAATTCCTTGTGATGAGGGTGGTGAGGCACTGGAAGAGGTTGCCCAGAGAAACTGAATGCCCCATTCCAAGAGATGTTCAAGGCCAGGCTGACCAGCTTTCAAAAAGCTGGTCTGGTGGGAAATGCATCCTTGCTCAGGGCAGGGCACTGGAACTAGATGTTTAAGGCTTTTTCCAACCCAAGCCATTCAGTGATTCTTTAATTCTATTAATAAAGTACAAAATAGATATTACTGTAAGCAGAAAAAAACAAGAGTTGAATAAAGATCCAGGAGTAGAGTGGAAATGAGACACAGGAAATAAGAACCTTTAAAGAATGACAAAGTTAGTGTAAAATTAAGAAATAAGAACAGATTGTATACCTCAAAGGAAAGTAAGATCTACACCCTGGAGGAAGATGAGGCAAAGAAGAAAGGATGACAGGAAAAGACATGCAGTTTTTCCAAATGAACAAAGGAAACTGAATGAGAGAGGACAGAGGAGGAAAAAAAAGTGAACATGTGGAAAAGGAGAAGGTGGGCAGAATAAGGAAAGATTAAGCAACAACTCATTTAGATGTGTGTCTTATTTACATTGATGTGCAGAGTTGTACAGGAGTTTGCTGGAGGTTTGGAAAGGTATTTTGAATGTTTACATTAGTGACTGTTGGATATTCTGGATTCTATAAATAAGCAGTAAAGTGCGTGAACAGATGGCCCAAAAATTTTAATGGAAGAAGTGTAACAACAAACATGGAAACTCCTGATTATTTGGAAACCTACCCACCAAAAAGTCTGCTGGGTAAAATGCTGTCAAAGGATTCCTAAACAAAGCAAATAGACACAGCTTTCATTGCCAAGGGGACTGAGGTCAGTCTGCAAACTGCCATTTAATTAAGATCAGGGTGAAGAATTCTGAGCTGTACAATCAATGAACGTACAGATGTTATAGTTATGAGGTATACTAGAGAGCTTGGCTATGTAGTTATTACACCAAAGCAGAAAAGACAGGACAATTACCCACATCCTGGGCCACTGTGAAACTCCAGCAAAGTGGATCTCCAGAAGAGATCTTTCCCTACTGGTAGTCAGCTCTTAAATGGGTCTAGGAGAGGTGGAGCCTGGCTCCCCTCTCCGGCAGCACAGGTGAATTGCCTTCACCTGTGCTCCCGTGGCTGACTCATTGCTCACCTCAGGTGATCAATCAGAGGTTCAAGCTGTGATTCAGCAGTTCCCATACACTCAGATGCAGGTCTTTATCAACAATTCTCTTCCAGATCTGTGGGTAATTGTAGTACAGGCTGATTGCTGGAAAGATCAACTATTTGTTTCTAAGCCTCATGAATATGGATAGATAGTAATGAATAATGCTCAGAGTAAGCAGCTACAAATTCTTCCAGAACTGCAGAATATCTTGGTAGAGGAGACTTGGGATAACTGAAGTCTGTCTAGCTTAAAGGAAGACTGGAAAATACCATTCAGAAAGGCTCTAAAGACTTAAATAATAAAAGTATTTCTAACCTTTAGCACCACTGATGACAAGTCCCAGCTCTGCACAGACTGACACACAGACAACTTCATGGTCGTGACCAGTCAGAACAGCCCGAGGAGCAGGATAATCACCTATTAGGAAAAAAAAAAAAGAAAACAACAGACAAATGGCAAAACAAACCTATCTTAATGACAAAAGAGCAGTGCAGTAATTTGCCTTCAATCAATAAGCATAAAAGAAATGCACCATCTGTTTAAATACTTCATACCTAGCTTTCTGAGCATCTGTAACACAAATACCTGCTATCAAACGTACCTATCTGTAGCCTTCTGCAAGGAACCTAAGGAGTAGGAAGAGTTGAGAATGTTCTTATATTAATGATCATAATTTATTTCATGAAGCTGGAGTAGGGGAAAGAGAGGAGAAACTGCACTGTACTGGAAAGATGCTGCTATTGCATAGACATTATTGATTTAGAGTCACATTGAATGCTTATAGATTAAAATTATAGCTAGAGATGGTTATGAATAGACATCATTTTATATATATCACTGTGGATACATATGCCATTATGATCACATTTAATTTTAAAGAGTAGGATAGACTGCTCCCTAAACCTTTCTTTTCTATATGCAGGAGAAAAACATATTTTATTGTGGATTCAAACAAGTGGGCTTTTATGGAGCATTTATGTGACAAATAGCAACACTTCTCTTGTTTCTGATACTAACAGACGCTGACATCACATGAGTAAAGCTTCTGTATGCAGTAAGGAATTACTGAGTACTTGATATGACTTTACCAGGCAAGGAAAAGTTATGTAGTAACAAAAAATTAGCAACATGCTAGATAACAGAGATTTCATCTGGTTATATTTAGTTTGTACAAATGAAATACAAAAAAAAAAAAAAGGGAAATTCCAAAGGACTGGAGCTCTGACTACATATGAAGTATTATAACATTAAGCCCCCACAAAATAACAAACTGGGTAACCCAGGGTTCTCTCAATAAATCGGAAGCAAAAATCTCATTAATGCCAGTCATCATGCTGTACTGGAATGGGAGTCTTGTCAAGCAAATTTCTTATCTGCTTTGGACAGGATGACAGGTACAGCTGATAAAGATGGCAATTTTAAAATGGCCTCCTGTATATTTTTTTAGGATATTTGACTCAGTAGTGTGGGGTTTTGATTTCAATCTGTTGTATATGGAACTGACCAAAGACAGAACGTATAGTACAGAAACAGGTTCAACGACAGTTTTGAACATTTTCTGTCAGCAGGAGGGTATTGACTAGGAGCTTGACATTAGGATAATGGATACTAAGTTATTGTATTGGTAGATGGGAATCACTAGATAGTAACTTCATCTGTAGGACAATACCAAGTCTTTGCTGGTAAGATGTCATAATATACAGTTGATACAAGGATTCATAAGATACTGTACAATGAAGAGTGATAATAATTATTATAGCATGCTCCTCACTGTCCAGTTAAATAATAAGGTTGCCAAATGGATTTTCATTATTTTATTTATTTTGAGCGCAAACAGGTAGAAAGCTGATGCTTCTGTACAAACACAAGCTCTGCCCACTGGGGAGGTGATTTTGGTAGGGAAAGCAATGAGACAAAGGAGGATTTATTGGAGTCACAATGCAAAACTTCCTCAACATTAGCTTTCATTGCAATACCCTAAAATAGCAAATAGAGGTCAGGAATTATCTTGCACTGTAGATCATAAATGAAATTGTGCTCACATTTTCAGAAATGGGCTCCAAGTAGGGTCCCACAACTGATAAAGAGTGGGATAGGAGGCTGCACAGCATTTAAAGTGTTTTCTCTCTTCACTGCACATGCAGCAGAGCAGTGACTTGGTGACCATAGCTGGGAAGTTAAATGTATAAAAGATGTCCAATAGCCAAGCAATTTATCTTACAGTTAATGGCAGGACAAGGTCCATTGGGTGAATGGCTGCACATACTTCAACCCTGCAATAAAATGCAGTATCCTATCTGCAAAAACAGTTAAACACTAAAACAAATTAACAAAGGAACTACTGGAGTATCTAGGCAACAGTGTATGCCTTTCTGAAAGATATGCTTTAGGAATACAGGCTTCAATTGAGCTTTGTGGGTCAATGAATTTACTCTCATTTATTGCAGAAACTCACACCATATAAAGCTGTTAATAAATTAATGAATAGCTGGCTAGGTAGGTGACTTGGAAGGATGTTTCTGAACTCTAATGCTCTGAAGGACAGAAATATTTTTGTTTTCAGTCTGAATCTATTCCTGTCTACCTTACATCTCTTTGTTCTTGTGTCAGCACTGCCCTTCAGCTTCAGATCTCCTCACTTGTCTTTTCCCCGCTCACATTCTTATAGAAGAAATCAGCCCTCTCAGCCTTTCCTTTTGACTTTATTAAACAAACCAAACTCTTATAATATTTCTTTAAAGTGACAGGTTTGCCTTTTTTTAGTCATTGCAGTAATCCACTTCTGCTCCATTCACACTCCTGGTTCTTTCTTAAAATTCAGTTAGCCAAAACAGTATACAATAGTAGTCCTTGAAATTTTACAGAGAATGTACAGTATTTTTTGAATAATCTTAACCATATCTGTTATCAAAATTTTAACTAATAATTCTACACGTTTTACTACTGTTTTCTGAATCAGAGAAACATGGATTTGAGGCTTTAGTTTCGGATCAAATAGTACAGGATAAGTCAATCTACCTTCACTGCTAATGAAAACAGCTACCTCAACAAATTCTAGTTTCCCAATCTTTAATCTACCCTGTAAGAAAAAAACAAAACAAAACAAAACCTTTTTAGTCTGGAAATTGAAGATGTAAACTCAAAACTGGGCTTTATTGCTATAGAAGGGATGGATTTCGGAAGAAACAAAAGAGGAAGTTCAATACACCTGATCAAAGATAGCTATACTTAGAGGTTTAGATGCTTACAGTTTCCTCCACTGATGTCAAAAAGCCTCCTTCAGAGATGTTCTTTTCTCTAGTGGTCTAATAGAAGAGTAAAATATATAATGCAACTAACTTCAAAATGTTTCCATTCTTTTCTTTTTTTCTTCTGTATGTCTTCTTGAAAAAAAAACACCAAAAGGTTTCTTTGACTTAAACTCTGATTATAGAGGTCAACATAGTGCTGCCATCTGTCTGCAAGGGAACTAGCAGTAGTGAATGACTAGAATTATTTTATGATTAGAAAGTTTTAGGGGAAGAGAAAGAATGCAATTTTCAAAAAGACATTTTCCTCACCATTTCATAATAAAATAATATAAAATCAAGAAACTGTAAAACGTCAGAATCTGAAAAATGACAATAAATGAATATTTATTTGTAAGACTTCTTGTCTTACGAAGGGAAATGCTTATAAGAAACAACTGCTCTGACTTTTGAGACCTTTTTTCAGTAAATAAAAATTAATAATTGAAAATCTTTATTAGGAGTAAGAGTCAGACACTAATAGTAAATAAGATTCAGTGATACTTTCTACAGGAGAAGCTGTAGCACAGAGAAGATAATGTCAATCATATTACATTTTATTGCTAAGGACAGAAGTTGTGAACTTCAGGAATCATTCAAAATCTAGCAAAATATTCTGTCACTGTCACGTCACCTCTGATAGATGCAACCAGGGGTCAAAGGCTGCAGCTCTGAGGGAACTGCAGGTGAAAATATCTTATCAATGAGCTGAGATACCATTATTGTAAACTCCCTGTGATTTCCCCAAAGGAGCACCTTTGAACCAAACTACTAGTGAGCAGAATAAAAAAAAACAACATTTGTGATGTGTTTCTAAAATAAGCATGTTCTTCTACAAAGTCTGAAGTAAAATACATCTTCCATTCTCTCTGAAAAGTACAATGTCTAATACCATCATAAGGTTCTTCTGTAATAGGGTTCTCTTATTGTAAGGATAAAAAGAAAATGAAGGAGAATGGACAGTGTCACTATTTTTTTCATATTGTCTTTTTCCAGGAATTATTTAAATTGTTCTGGAGACACATCTGAAGGTCTTCTGTTTAAAGAAACACAAGGTTTCTAGCTTGCCTTTCATCTTTGACTTTTATGGAAGGAAGTGCAGGGCTATAGCTGACTGATTTGTTGAAAATAAAACCAATATGACAGAAAGATTTTTCTGTTAATATTTTTGAGGAGATACTCTTCAGTAAATAAAATCTTAGAAGTTATTATCACCTTAATGGAAGCAACAATGAAGTAGTCTTCCTGAACCTTTACTGTCAGAAAAAAAAAAAAAGCAAGAAAAAAAAAAAAAAAGCTAAAAACAACAAAAAAAAAAAAAAAAAAAAAAAAAAAAAAAAAGAAGTCCACAATGAGAGGAAGTGATTTATTTTAAAAAAGATTGCTGACAGAAAAATATTCATATATTCAAAATATTCTTACCTTTGGCAGAACTGGTTTATTAGCTGAGGAATGTCAGTAGCATTGTATATGCCTACAAACAGTTAACCAAGTTAAGTGGTCTTGCACACATCTTGCGAGTATCCAGACTCCATGAGGAAAAATATGTTGGATGAGAGCCTTTGCAACTTCAATTACTATTTCTTTTACTAAATTGCTTCAAAAGTTTTGGCAAGTCACTGAACTGCCCTGTGCAATGGAGTATGCAGCGAAACATGGGCAGAAATATCTGTTAGTAAAATGCTAGATATAAGTGCATTAGTTCAGGTGAATTATTGCCTCATTTGCCTTTGCAATCTTAGGAGAGGTGTCTCTGGCTGCTGGTAAAATGGTGCTGGTGAAAATTATACACCGCTTTTCAAAGAGCTTCTACTCTGGCAGAATAATGCAGAGACATTGTATTTTAAAAATTAACACCTACATTGCACTTACAAGTATGTAGTTTAAAATTGCAAAGCAGTTTGCATGTGCACTAATATGCTTGAGCAGAACCTTTCAGCAGCCCAGCTTGCACATAAGACACTGGCAGCTATTTTTAAATTTTAGCCTTTTCAAGGTTAACCTAGTTCATGTTATAGTATATATGTATGGGGATATAAAAGAATAGAGTGAATATTCAAAGTTCTGAGCAGCAATGCTCTCAAAATGCAAATTCACAATATCAGAGACATTCACAATTTTAAATTGTTT